CATGACGAACTGGGCACTCAGCTGCATTTTAGCACGACGTACCACCCCCAGACCGATGGCCAGAGCGAGAGGATGATCCAGACACTGGAGGACATGCCAGTATTGACAGACCGCCATTCGAGATGTTGTATGGTACCTCCCACTGGCAGAGTTTTCATACAACAACAGTTACCATGCCTGTATTGACAGACCGCCATTCGAGATGTTGTATGGTAGGAGATGCAGGACCCCGGTGTGTTGGGGCGAGGTTGGACACGGGGTCATGGGGAGCACCAAAATAGTGCTCAAGACTATCGGGCTGATGCAACACTTGCGCGACCGGTTGTAGGTCGCGCAGAGCCGTTCGAAAAGCTATGCTGACCGGTGGCGATCGGACCTCGAGTTCCAAGTGGGGGACTGGGTGCTACTGAAAGTGTCACCATGGAAAGGGGTCATCAGGTTTCGGAAGAGGGGTAAGCTAGGACTCCGTTATATAGGCGTGTTTAGGATCACGACCCGGGTGGGCAAGGTGGCATATTGTTTAGATCTGCCGGATGAGCTTAGCCAGATCCACAACACATACCATGTGTCGTAGCTTCGGAAGTGTATTACTGACGAGGCAACGGTCCTTTCGCTGGACGACATTCAGGTGGATGGGAGCCTGAACTACATCGAGACGTCGATTTCCATCTTAGATAGGAAGACTAAAAGTTCTTTGGAAGAAGGAAGTAAAGTTAGTGAAGGTGCAATGTCAGCACCGCAGGGGCTCCGAGTGGACATGGGAGCCGGAGGACGAGATACGAGATCACTACCCGAATTTGTTTGCATCAGTAGGTTTCGAGCATGAAGTCTAGTTCAAGTGGGGGAGACTTGTAGCACCTGTTCCAGGTATTACTTGATTTATTTAATTTTAGGGTTTTGGTGCGTGGACTCGGCGAGTTGGGAGTCCAACTCGTCGAGTAGAGGTAATATTTATGGACGCGGGATCGGGACCTACTCGACGAGTCGGAAGGCCCCGACTCGGCGAATAGGAAATGTAAAGAGAAACCCTAATTTTTAGGACTTTGCACCCTATTCAAAGGACTTATGGCTCATTTGTAGCCTCCCTTAGCACTCTTGTAACTCAGAAAGAAACCCTAGCCGTTTGTTGAGCTTCCTTGAGTGTGTGTGAGCCATTTTGGGATATTTGTGAAGGATTTCAAGCTTAAAGAGGAAGACGCACGGAGAGGAGCAGTAGATCCAACATTTACTTCATATCACAAGGATATGGTTCCAGATCTGGATCCCTGTAGGTCCAATGAAATAAAGTTGCTCACTTTGTGTAGTGTAGCCACTTTCAATGCACAAAAACCTTGTAAGAAGCCTAGTTTTGAAAATATAGCCTTGGAGGACCTCGCATGCACATAAAGTTTGCAACTTTACGTGGTATCTGCACTAGGATAGCTTGGATTTGGAGTTCGGGACCTTAGATCCCACTGAAAAGGGCTGAACTTGAAGAAGACTGAAGGAACTCATCGAGTCCCTTAGTTGACTTGACGAGTCAAGTAAGGTTTACTCGTTTTCGGTTGTCATGAGTTTTCGGGTTCACGGGTTGTCAGGAGTTTTCGGTCTCATGAGTTTTCGGTGGGACTCGGCGAGTTACACAGGTAACTCGGTGAGTGGGTGAATTACACTGAAAACTTGACGAGTCGCTGGACGTACTCGATGAGTTGAGGTCAACATGGGCTGTTGACCTTGACTGTTGACCAGAGTTGACCAGGGTTGACTTTTAGGATGTCTATGGTATTGTGACAAGTTAATCACATAATGATTATAGGCAGTTGAAGGGGATCTGTGTGGGGGACATACCAGATCTTAGCTTGACAATTCTATATTCACGAGAGGTGAGTCTTCTCACCATACCAATGGGTCTAAGGCACCAAGGCTGGCCTATTTTATGATAGATGGCAGACTTGTTGTGTAGAGATATGTGATATGCTTGATATGTTTGGTAATATGCTAGCTATAAATTAAAAGAATCATTATTAATGGTTCTCTAAGAAACAAAGTATTTTATCAAGTTTCGTGTGAATCGAGATTCACATTTTGAATCAACACAGATTCACACTGTGAATTTGACAAAAAAAAAAGTAAAATTGTTTTTATCGAATTTGATATAATTGGAAAAAAGATAAAAAGTTATGAATTTCTATATTTTGAATTGTTTTTTTTTTGATAAAATATAAGCTTTAAAAGTTGAAAAAAAGATTGGTTCTATGATTACGTGGTTAACAATGGTTCTCTATTGAACCTCACAAATCTTTTTTTTTTTTTTTTAAATTTACATAACAAAATATCACAGGTTTTTTTAATAAAATGGCTGAAAAATAATTTGAAAAAAAAACTAAAAAAAAAAATTTAATTAATTTTTTTTTTCTAGTGAAGTTAATAAAAAAGTAGCATTTTTTAGTTAATCACATGATGATTATAGGCAGTTGAAGGGGATCAGTTCGGAGGACATACCAGATCTTAGCTTGACAGTTCTATATTCACGAGAGGTGAGTCTTCTCACCATACCAATGGGTCTAAGGCACCAAGGCTGACCCATTTTATGATAGATGGTATACTTGTTGTGTAGAGATATGTGATATGCTTGATATGTTTGGTAATATGCTAGCTATAAATTAAAAGAATCATTATTAATGGTTCTCAAAGAAACAAACTATTTTATCAAGTTTCGTGTGAATCCAGATTCACATTTTGAATCTACACAGATTCACACTGTGAATTTGACAAATAAAAGTAAAATTGTTTTTATCGAATTTGATATAATTGGAAAAAAGATAAAAAGTTATGAATTTCTATATTTTGAGTTGTTTTTTTATGATAAAATATAAGCTTTAAAAGTTGAAAAAAAGATTGGTTCTGTGATTACGTGGTTAACAATGGTTCTCTATTGAACCTCACAAATCTTTTTTTTTTAAATTTACATAACAAATATCGTAGGTTTTTTTAATAAAATCGCTGAAAAATAATTTGAAAAAAAATAATAATAATTAAAATTTTTTTCCAGTGAATTTAATAAAAAAGTAGCATTTTTTAGTTATATAAAGTCAAAAAAAAAAAAAAAAAAAAACAAAAGATTTGTGATCTAAAAATATTTTTTATGCATTTTTAGTGTGTTTAGGGTTTTTAGGGATTTTTGTTTCCAAAAAACCTATTAGATATCTATATATCTATATCTATATCATTATCTATCTATATCTCTATATATATATATATATCTATATTAATATTGAAGTAAGTTCAAATAAAAATAGTAAATCGTGTGAAGACGTAAAAACACCATGTTTATATTATTATTCTGCAATCAATGTTGTAGATGTGTATTTTTAAAGTAATTTTAATAAGAATACTAATGTTTGATTATTCATATATTCATTAGAATGTTATTATTCTATTATAAGTTTATGTATGTGTATTTTTTTAGTAAATTCAAATTTTAGTTTTAACCTATCACTCTTCATTTATTCACTACTGAATAATGACATAAAGTCGTGGATATAAAATTCTTTGCAGAATAATAACATAAAAATAGTGTTTTTACGTTTTCAAACTATTTACAGTTTTTATTTGAACTATCCCCTATATATCATGTTATGTAGTTATTGTATCTTCATTACATAAAGACATCTTCAGAATCATTGGATAGGGTATATTATGCATCGTCTTATTAGTCTCCAACAAAAGTTATAAATAAATTAAAAGAAGCTTTTAGTAATGGAGGTTATGAGAATGTTGAAGCTATAAAAACTTATTCAGAATTTGTTGATGATCCAAAAGTTAAAGATTCGTATACAGAAATAGGTTTATCTTTTTTCTTTTTCTTTATTTCATTTTTATTTTATAATCATACTTAATTATTTTCTTAATAGTTTAGTTTTTAGATGAAGAACACCGTACTCTTGCTAATTTTATGAGAAGAAGAATGCAAACGAAAAAGACGAAACAAAATGAAGAAAACATAACTCTTTCTGTTGTTATGAGGATAAAATAGGTAAGAAAAAGATGAATAGAATATTCCTTTGAAAAAAATGAATAAAATTTCAAAGGAAAAAATCTCAAATTCAACAAGTTCAAGGTAAACTTTATTTTTTTTAATTAACTTTTATGTTTATTTACCTTTAAAATTTATAATAGTTTGTATTATTTTGGATGATTCTGATAAACGAAACAATATTTTTCAAGATAAAACAATTGACAATGAAATTAGAGATGATGGTAAGTTTTTTCTTTTTATTTTTTGAAGTAATTTTTATTTTTATTGACATTTATAATTTAAAATAGATTCCATTCTTTTGGATCATGCTTACAAAGGAAAAAAAAGTTGTTGAAAAAAACATAAATGAGAATCAAGTGAGAGATGATGGTAAGTTTTGTTATACATTTTTTAAAATTGATTTCTTATGTTTATTGACTTTTATAATTTGAAACAGTTCCTATTTTTGTGGAAAATGCTGATAAATGAAAGATTGTTCAAGAGAACATAAATGATAATGAAATGAGAAATGAATCGATGGTATCTTTTATTTTTTACATAATTTTTAACATCTAATTTGTAATTTTAATGTAATTAATTTTGTTAAATTTTATAATGTCAATGGAGATTGGATTGATAGCGGTCCTTCTGTTCCTCGATTTGATATTATTCTTGATGGTTCCAAGTCTTTAGAGGTATATATGTTTTTGCATCGTGGTTTTGATTCAATATCTGTTTGGATCATTTTAATCCTTTTTTGAGTTTAATGTTATTTTTCAGGATTTTAAGGAGAATATAGATTTTCTGTTCAAAAGTTATAATTATTTGAAGCCTACTATTGATGATTGGATCAATCGTGCTTGGAATCAGTTCCCAGGCAACAAAGAGATTTCAAAGTATGCTGAGAAACGTAATGTGGAATTTAACCAAGTTCATAAAAAACTTGTGTTATTTTGTGGTCCAAAAGTAAATCAACATGTTGAAGTTTCTAAGGAGTTATCAAATGTTGAAAATCAAAAACGAAGATGTTCAAGTTTATGAGGAATTAAGAGATGTTCAACTTGATCAACTGTCGATGCCACAATTTTTCGATCATCCTAGGGTTCAGGAACACTTGGAGGTGTTAATGAAAACAAATGAAGCTTTAGAAGATGATAGTATTCAGCCAAATAAAATGTTAAGCCATCCAATTGTTTCAAATCAGTTTCATGATCTTGATGCTATTATTTCAAACCCTTCAGAAAAGCCTTCTCCTAATTTTTCCGATCATGCTTGGGTTATTGGTAAATCTTCTACAAGCAATGTAGGTCAAGTTTTTGGATTAAAAAATGTACGGGTAGTTGAAAACATGACTAAGGGGAATTTTTTGGATTCAATCATTGGTTTAGATACAGGTTTTAGAACTCCAAATGATCCAGTTCCTCTTAATAGTTATACAGGGAAGATTAAAGAATCTATCATTTTTTTCTCCAATACCAATACAATCTTATAACATAAATGCTAAGCCAAATAGAGCAAAAAGATATGTACAACCTGCTCTAGCACTTTGTTCACCTTATCACAAAAAGAAATAGATACAAAGAAAGGGTGGCTGTGGATTCTTTTGTTTTTGGCTATGCGTAATTGTAGGTATTTCCTTACTGATTTTTTTTTAATTTTAGTATATATTATTTATAATCTTGACTTTTAGAGAAAAAGTTTATGAATCTGCCAATGGATTTGTTGGTACAATATCTGTGACGGAGGCTCTCATACTGGGTTGTAGGATTAACAAAGTTTTAATTGATTTATGGTTTGCGCTTCTGAATGATCTTGAGATTACTCCTTAAACATTTTTCATGCCATGTTTACTTATGGTATGATCCATATTATTATGTTTTATCCTTTTTATTTATATTTTTATATTTTCTAACTCTTTTCATTTTATTAGACAAATATTGTGTTCAAGAAGACGAATAATATTAATGCACGATTTGTAGATACCTCCTTTGTCTGATAACTATCAAAACTGTCATAAAACAGTTTTCCAACAGTCAAAAACTGTTATAAATCTTGGTTTTCTATAAGGATTAATGTAAAGCCAAAAACCAACCAGCCTGGGGCTCTGCCCCTTGGACCCCACCAGGGGTTGCCTCCCCTTGGACCCCGCGCCCAGGGGCACTTCCCCCGGAACCCCATTCATTCAGGGGCTTTGCCCCTAAATGACAGTCTACTTTTAATATAGAATAAACTTAAACAATTGTGCACTCTGCACCTTGCTTACTAGTTTAATATTCATCAAGATTGGTTTTGGTCAACAAGTCAACCCATTACACTTAAATACTTAACCGTAATCTTGATTAACTTAAAAACAAAAACATAACAACAACAAACTGATGCATAAATGAAATGTCGCGAGGATTGAATATCACATTAGTATATTAGTCATTCCAAATATTCGAATATCAGGGTGTCACTAAGGATTGAACCCTTTCTATTCATAGTGAATACATGAAGATAATACGCACAACAATTTACATTCCCAAAAATTCTAACTTGACATTACATTTTACTAGCTTGTGTCCCATCCTTAAATAAGCATATCAAAGTCAAGTCCCAACTTCTTGAAGCAACTAAACTTCATGCTTATATTGGTAGTTCTTTTGTTCTTGCACTTGGACATGCAATTTGTCAAAGAACTATTAAGAAATAAAATTTCAAGCTCCTTAACTTACAATATCAAACACATACCTTGGGATGATGTCACAACCCGCGAAAGCGGAAACACGGGGCGTGGCAGTTCAAAGGCTTTCATAGCAAAAGATAAAGACAACACCAACCATAATATTAAAAGCATTATAATTTACAATGGGTTTGAACAAAATTTTAAAAGAAATTACAATGTAATTGAAAAACAACACATGCGAATGCTCCTACAAGTGATGTGTTCCTAAGTGCCATCTTATAGACGAGTTCCTGAAAAAGCATGTAAAATGAGATGTCAACTACCAAAATAGTTGGTGAGTACTCACAGGTTATAACGTAATATAGTTTGAAGTCATGAAACTTAGAATATTGATAACAGTTTCCATAAACAAATGTTCATTTCTAAAATAAGTAAATAAGTTTTCATGAATAGAAGTTCGTTGCTAAAACGAGTAATAAAGTTTCCATAAATAGAAGTTTGTTTGCTAATATGAGAAACAAAGTTCGTTGCTCAAATGAGTAAACAAGTTCACTGCTACAAAGAGCAAACAAGTTCATTGCTAAGACAAGTAAATAAGTTTCCAGTAATAAAAGTTCTGTGCTATAATGAGAAACAAAGTTGTATGTGCGTAGTGATCAAATCATGAGTTCACAACCCAAGCCTAAGACCTAATGCCCTCTTGAATGCTATGTCTATCGCTAACATAGGGAGAAATATGGTAAAATGCACTCAAGAGAATCGTCCGAGTGAGGAGTTGTCTACTTCCTAATTGCGGTATCCATAATGACCATGGGCTCAAATGAGTTAATGAGTTGTGTGAACTAATTCTAGGGACTTAAACGCGATAAGGCCTCATGAATTAACAATAGCATTCGCGTACACAAAAAAATATAGCAACCATATTTGACACAAGTCAAATTAAATATAAAAAATAATAAACACTTTTTGGACATGCTTTTCCACCCCAAAACATTTTAAAACCGAAAATAGGGGGAGTCGTGAATACTCACAATTATGTGTGATAGTATTTGTGATACCTTGAGCGAACTTTCCTCACGTCCTACTACCGATTCCCTACGATAAGGTTACACGCTAGAAAGTCTCTAGTCGAAAATCTAACACTAGTATACTTAATTTCTACAATAGAATTATGCCAATACTATGTCAAAATTAGGTTTTGTATAAGTTGCAATTACTTTTCTAAAAATTCAAATTTCCATGTACCAATTGACTGATTAACTTTTGCAAACGACAAATCCCATTTTGTGTTATTGTTTGAAATGCATTTCAACACTTTTGGAAGGGCTTTACAAGCCAAAAATCCAAAACTAAATCAAATCAGTTCTAAAAATTTCCAAACATTACAGTTCAGTTCTAACTATAATTTAGAACCCTCTTGTAATTTTTCATGATTTTAATTATGTTTAACTATTTTTCCACCATTTAATTCCTTGAAAACATCATAAAATGGTGAAAAATAATAAACAGTTAATAAAAATTCTCAATCTTTTAGTAAAACTGTTATACAATGTATATAAACTGGGAAAACTACTCAAATTGATTTCAAACAGTTTAACCCGATTTTAAGATTTTTGTTTATTTATTATAGCAAAAATCAAAGTAAATAGGAGTCAATTTATAAAATTCCCCAAACATTGTTTTCCACTGTTATTAAACATATATAAGCTGGAAAAAATATCAAAGCTAGTTTTCAAAGAGTTTAACTATTTTCTTGGTTTTATCCATTTAAATAAACATTAATTAATAAAAATTATTAAACAGTAGGTAAAATTCAATAAAATATTATTTACAATTAATGTGTAATATAAGATATTATGATGAAGTTTCATAATTTTTGGATAAATGTAGCTATTTTTCATTAATTTAACCCAAAAACATCGGTAAAAATAATAAATTGTCTTGGAAAAATATGAAAACTTTTTCTTGGAGTCTTTATGACGTCTAGACGATGCAAAAATTATAAAATATGGCTTTGGACATTAATAAATGTATTTTAATATTTATTTCTCTTCAACAAAACTAAATTATAAATCAACAGAAAACGGCCTTAGAAATGCATACAACTTCATGAAAAGTCTTTACTCTGTACATAGGTGATATCTGAAATTACCAGTATTTATTAATGTCACACCCCCAAACCAGACGACGGAAACGTCCGGGGGTGGAGGACTTCATTTGTAGTATCACAACACATGCATCATAGTAATCAAAGTACAAACAACTATTGAATTTAAAAAGTATAAGTATTTACATGTGTTCAATCTTTGTATATTGACATCAAAATAGTTACAACAATATACAAAAGATATGACTGAAAACGGCTCTATCTTCTCAAAAGCTCGGGGAGTACCTGTTTCTTGTTTCCCTGAGAATACAAGTAATTTGAAAAGAGAGTATCAACATAAAGTTGAGTCAGTGCATAAGTATTTATGTTTAAAAGTATGTTTTCTGTTCCTTGAATATGTAAACTATTCCAGAAAATCCTATATTTTCTGCTGTATATGAAAAGTAGTTTTAATCTCATAAAACCATTCTATTTGTAAACCATTGTTCTGTGTTTGTATCCTTTTGTAAAACCTGTAAAAGTGAATGTGCCTGGCTCCACCAGCTGTTATTGTAAACTGTAATGTAATACTGCAAACTGTATCTCTGTAAACTAGTACTTTGAAAATGTACTCATGTTTAGTTAATTATACACTAACATATTGTTAATATCTTTTTAATGAGTTATTATAACCATACTATGACTAGATGACCTGAAACAAACGCTTTGAAGGCATTTAAACTATTGATAACAATTGTCACTCATAGGCGTGTATGCCCGACTGTAGCTAGCAGCCCGAGTGCGGGGTTGTCAATCCCAATATAGATCTATACACACTTGTTTCGATCCCCGGATGAAGATTCTGGTTATAATATCAGGACTTTAACTATGTTGTTTAAATGAGTAAACAACCTGAACATATTGTCTCATAAAAAGCATATAAACGTTACGTGTATAATGAAAAATCCAATCATTCTGAAATAAATTATTGATAGTATGTTCCTTGTTTAGTATACTTGAAATGTAGTAGTAGTGTACCCTTGTTCAGTTTTGAATCAAACTCTTGTTTTTGTACAATAGTGTAAACCCATGTTCTTGTAAAATAGTGTACTCTAGTATGCTTGACTCGTGAGTTAGTGTTCTTGAATCATAAATTATACCTATTATAATTTATATGTACTTTCTGTATTGATACTAACTGTTCATGAATGCAACCCCTTGCTCTACATGTTACAAAGGGTATTGAAACTGAAAGACATAACCTTTATATTTATATACATACACAAATATATATAACTAAAATTTAAACGACATTCGGACAAATAACCGATACCCTAAATCCACATCCAAACAAGGAAAAGGAAATAAAGCGAGTTATCAGTCCTAAGCCCTTTAAATCTTCTTTATATAAATGTAAATATATAAATATGATTTTTGGGGAAAAATATAAGTTTGTAAAACATTTTGAAAACTTTTGATGACTTGATGTCATTTTAATACAATTTGAAACCATTTGATTTTGAAGATAACTGAAATCGATTTTGTAAGATATTTCGAAACCATTTGTTTGTAACACAAAATCCTTGTGTTAGACTTGTATTCCCCCCCCCCCCCCCTTAAAACAGTAAGATCTATGAAAATACGGGGGAGGGGGGGGGGTATGAACTCACATGATAGGAGGTGATTTGGGCAGCGTTTCGTTTCTTAGAAAGGAGTTTTCTTGATGTAACTGAGAGTTTTT